GACAGTCATTAAGTGCATTTCACTAATGAAAATATAGACTCTTAGACTACAAGAATGTTATGATGTTAATCTGTGAGTTGATATCTTCTTTTATTAATAAGAAAATAATAATTCTGTTAACTCACAGTAATATAAGATGTGCTGAATATTATCTACCAATATCTTCCATAAAAGACTAAATTTCTAATATACAGGACCAATAGTTAGCTTAATGGCTATGTTGCTGAACCCTCATGTAGTCGACCGCAGTGCAGGTCCCGGACCTGGTGACTTAAACTCAAGCCATACGTATGTTCATGCATGCCCAAGATCCTGAGAGGAGAATGAAGGAGAAGGGACTGCATCATGGCCATGCCCCCCTGGGGGGTGACTTCCCTGTATCTCTCTGTCTTTCTGGTGAGCACACAAGCCCTATAGCAAAAACTTCTCAAAAAAATTTCTAATATGGCATTATTTAGCTACTGTTAAAATCTTTTTTTTTTTTTCTTTAGCAGACACACTGTCAAAAAGCGTCTTCTCAGGAAAAATATCTTATCTGTTACATGTGTTTGTGAGTAACACAATACACATATATTGTATGATCCTCCTCAAAGAAGCACAAAAGCCATAGGAAAGCTGAAAAGGGTATGGAATTACCACTTCAGAATGCCACTTCCTTACCAGGGCATGGTGCTTTAAAGTTTGCAGAACCATGTCATTCAACCATCTGTACTCCTGGTTACAATACCTCTCCTGCCCCCATTTACAGAAGAAAATTCTGCTGATCTCCTAAGACCCAGATAAAGTCCATCCTTTCTTCAGTTTATTTTCTCTACATTTATTCATTATTCATTCACACTTATCCATCTATCAAAAGCATATTGACTGTCCTACTAGAAGCAAGGCACCATTCTAGTGTTGGAGAGTTGGCAGTGAATAAACCATGGTTCTTCTCTTACTGGTGCTTGAGCTCTACAATAGAAAACAATAGGAAGAGAGAGAAAAACAAATTTGCAAATACATTCATAAAATAGCAATGGGTAAGTAGAAAATATTAGAAAGAAAAGTAAGCCACGAACTCAACTTTCCTCCCTCACCTACCTGACTACAGACCACAGAAGTGAGGTCAGAGATGACATTCTCAACTTTCCCAAATATGGTGCCCAGCTGTTACAATTCTAGTGTGTAGGAGAGACATTCATTCATTACACATAATTAGTGTCCCAGGGAATGAAAGCTTAATCTCAACTGGTATGAGGGTGAAACAGAGAGCAGTTGAGATGCAATCTTAGATGATGTACTGCAGGTGGCCTCTCTCAGAGTTGTAAAAGTAAGTGTTCTAGAAATGACCCTGAGAAAGAACCATCTCAATTACCAAAAGAAGGGCACATGTGCCGGGAAAAGAAAAGGGAATACAAATCCCAACAGAACTAGTGAACAAGGTGGATCTGAAGTCCAGTTGGGTTGGTCTGAGTGATCAGAACAGAGTGAATAAAGAACTGAGTAATAGGAAAAAGGATGACAGGTCAAGGTTTTCAGAAGAAAGACATCTATACTAAGCCTTGCTGGCCTGCCACTTTATTTGGAGTTCAACTCTAGGACAACCATCCTAAAGACAAGAAGTAGCCTGGGTCTCTGGATTCCTGAAAGGAAGGCTGTCACAACTGTCATCAATGGAGTCATAAATGAGAAAGAAAAATTCTGAATTTTGTTATACCACTCACACTTCAGAGTTCATCTGTCCCATGCCACAGAGTCACCCAATGAATACAAAGATTTCTCTTTCTCTCTTTTTAAATTTGATGTTGAAGGGACAGTGTACACAGGTAAATTGAACAAAGAACATAGGCGAATGTATATTTTTGAGGCAATACTTATGTGTGCTTTGTATTCACAGAGATTAAATTAAGGATATATTTTCAGTAACATTTTATATTATAGATGCTACTAGACTTATGTTAAAATTATGTCCCAATAAAGTCAACATATGCCAAAAATACCATGTCAAAAATGCACACCAATAAAATCATCCTAATATAAAACTCATTTTAATATAAAAAGTAGTACGTTTAACCATCCATATGTCATATATGTGATATATTTCCTAATTTTCATTAGGTGATCAACATGCATAAAGCCAGTAGGTTTTCAAAACATATTCTATTCTACTAGTCAGAACAGAATAGAATATTCCATTCAAATTCTATTCTATTCTATCTTTCTTAAATAAAAAAGGTCCATTATACTTTAAAACAAAAGAAAGATCCATTATGCTTTAAAACTAAATATTGAGATACTATGTAATGTACTCGTTTCACTTCCACCACCAGGTGGTAGACGGCACACTTTTAAAACCAACATATTCAGAATATGGTAGACAGAGCACACTTTTAAAACCAACATATTCAGAATATTTTCCACCAGGTGCTGGTTCAGGTCCTTTCCATTTTCAAAACTGATATATTCCGCACTACAATACATTATTTAATATATCTTCTCTTCATTTCCACTAAGTGGCACATAAGTCCATTAAACTTTCAAAATTGGTTTATTTTATCACAAACTGCAATTTAACTAAGCCTGACTACTAAAGCCTATTGCATATTCACCATGATTGTTGGAGATATAAAAAAAGATATAAATTAATTATCTGTATATTTAAAGTAAAACAACATAAACCTTCCTAATATACTCATTTCAATAAGCTTACTGCTGGTTTCACAACTAAAAAGTATACATGTGATTTTACCCAATGGTCAAGGATCCCATTCTATACAAGCAAAATACTGCTTCCTAAGCATCTTCATTTACAGAAAGAAACTTCACAGATCCTATCAAGTTAGGATGAAGATACTAGGGGCCAAGGGGACATAGTGTTAAGGCACTGGCCTTCTACATGATCTACTTCAGTTCAAGTACTGGACCCAGTGGCTTAAAAACCACACTGGGAACATGTGTGTGTGTGCACAAAATTCTAGGAGAATGGGAGAGAAAAAATTGTGGAATAGCCATATCCTCCTGCCCCCCAGGGTGATTTCTCACTTTTCCTCTCAATGTCTTTGTCTCTCTCTCTCTCTCTCATGACTACACACACCCTATTGGGGGGGGAACTTTTTTTTAAAAAGATACAATTCTACTCATAACCATGAGTAACTAACATCTTATAGTAATTCTGTGATTCTTACTCAAACAGATGAATTATTTAACAAAAATGTATTGAATTCAACTCCCAATTTTCTTGGTCATGATAAAGATGGTGGATTTATCTTGAGGGTAAGGAAACAAATTGTGAAAGGTTTCAGTTTGGGGAAAAGATGACTGTGGTGTGTGGGAAAAAAACTGGAGGACTGAAGTGGCCAAGACTAGCGAGAGAGATTAGTGGGTCTAATCTACAGGGGTGGCCACTCCATGGGAAGAAACAGGCTCGGGATACCTGTACTTCATCTGAACAGTTAAGAGCTCTTGGCGCAGGTGAGTAAAGCACATGTTCAGATGGGCTGACTTCATTCAGATTCATCCCTACTCCTTCCAAACTGCAGTACCTCTTGAGGCTTCTGAACCACAGCTCCTTTGACCCATGAAACAGAAACACTGCCCGTCTCAGTAGCACTGTCATGAGAGTTAAATATGCCTACTTCAACAGATGGGGCTTGACATACTCTCTGGGGACCCAAAAATTAGCAGCAAAAGGTGTTATTATGGGCCTCCTTGTCCCTACTCTAGAAAAACTCCTAGCACTTTACACCTGTCCTCTACTTTAGTCCCCTGCTGGGCTCCCAGCACCTGACAGCTATGGTCTAGGGCAGGGTTACTCAGCCACGGTAATAAGCACATGGTCTTGGAGACTGTCCTGACTCCTAATATGTTTATCTACATCACTGGCTTTCACCCGCTAGCAAGCTTCTAGTAGCATTGCCTCCTTCTACCAGTGACAACCAAGAATGTGTCTAGACACTGCCAAATGTCCCCTGGGTAAGGGGGTGCGGGGGAGGGAATCAACCCTGGTTGAGAAACTTCTGGCATAGGACTTGGTCTAGAACAGTCCTACTCATAGGAATAATTACCAAGGATAAACAGTCTTTTGGAATACTTCTCACATAATAGCAGGACTCTACAGAAAAAGAAATGACCAGTTAGAACTTTCAGAAAGGAAAAGCCTCTGACTTTTTCTACCTTAAACTTGAGTAAAACTTAATAATTTGTACTTTTTTTTAAAGTTGATAGAACATGCAGTCACCATAGTATATATTTCTGTGTAGTCTATTCAGGCACAGCTAAGGTAGATTAAAACCAAAGTAGGCAGTGGGGAGCACACTTCAAGTTCAGGGCCTAGAACCATGGACCTGGCGCTCCTACAGTCCTAGCCATGACAAGAAATCAGGTTAATGAGGTCTCCTGAGAGTTACCAGGCCGTGGATGGCGCCCTTAGAAAAACAGCCCTGCAGCCATGTCAGAAGCAGCGACAAGTGGGGGCCGCGAGAATGGCAGGGGTGGTCGTGGTCGACCCCAGCTACCCTCGGACTGCTCCCAGCCCCATTTCCCGCATACCTGCTTGCTCCCTAAAGTGGTGCTGTAGGCCCTAAGGGTGCCCTTCCCGGATCCCCAGCTTGATCATGGTCCCTTCAAATCATGAAGGCCGCCACCGCCCAGACTCCATGCTGAGCCAGTGACCCGTGCCCCAACCGGCCACTTCCATAGCTCCATTGCTCAGGAATCCCGCAGCCCAAACATTCCTACCCCGAGTCCAGCCAGCACAGAGAGAGGTGCTCCAGCAGCCCACGCCCACAGAGTCACCTTCACGCTGGCCACGCCCCGCGCTTGCTGATTGGCGGACACTGCGCACTACAGCGGGCGCAAGGATATCTAGGAGCCAGAGGGGCGGGGCTGGGCACCGAACCACCGTGAGTTCTAACCCTAGGACAGGACTTGCTCTTCACGCCCAACCAATCATGGAGCACGGACCAAGGCCGGCACCATGGCAACGCTTTGTTGACAATGCGCTTTATTAGGGCTGACCCTGCTCTTGCTGCTTTAGGGCGGCAGAAAGGAGGGGTGGTGGATCCATAGCTAGGATGACAGCATCGGTGGTAGTAGACCTCAGCGGGTCTCATGCGAAGGTGAGCGCCCTATCAGGCAAATTTATAAGATCGTGATGTCTACGGCCGCGGCAGCAGTGATGGTCTTTTGGAGGTGGGGAGGCTACAAGCCAGTTGGGAGGACTTTCCTGAGACCTGCAGCCTGGCTCTTGCTAGAGCTTAGTCGTGGCTGGGAATGGGCTTGGGCAGGGATTTGGTCCTGAGTGGGACCACCAAGCCAGGCTGACTGATGTCTTCCCCTCTTTGGGCCCAGCAGTGACCTCACTCCCTCACCCCTGTGCCTTTTGAAACCATAAAGTCACACATTAGCTTTAATCATCTTGGGTGCCTTTTATTTTTTTCTCAATAAAAAGCCTAGAAAGACGTTTATTTGGCAGCTGATGAATTGCAAATATTACTGTGCCCGAGTGGGAGAGGGCACCAACAGCTCTGGCACTTCGTGCTTGCAGGTCCTGTCCCTGGGCCCCAGACCTGCCTAGGAGTCTCTTGGCAGTTTGAGCTGTAGTCCTGAATAGGTGCCTTGGCATCCTCCCACCCACCTCTGCTCTCCGTGGAGGTCACTGGGTCTGCCCACCCATTCTCCTATCAAGGCCTCTACTGCCCTTCAACTTCCTCAGGTCACATTTCTGCAGTGATTAGTAGGCTGTGGGTGATCACACCAAGACTGAATCTCATGTCCCCTTAGCACAATTGGGTTTAGTAGGATAGATGCCTCTCAAAATGACCCAGCCCGGGGATACCTCTTCCAGGAACCCTGGAGGACAGGGCACTCCTTAGTGAATTGCCTCCCTGGTGAGTGTCCCCTTTGGATGCTTTCCCTTTGTTTCTTGTTTCTGTTTTGTAAAAGGTTTACCTACAGCTCTCAGATTTTCATGGAGCAAATAATGCCAACACTGATTATCTCAAAAGCTGGTGGTCTTCTTGCCTCACTGGCTATCTAGACACATGGAGATTGACCACAGGGATGGCTGTCACGTGGGAATGGGGGAGGATACCCAAGCCCTGGGCACATATGTGACCTCTGCCCTGGGGCTGCTCCTTCTGGTCTGCCATACTTGGTCAGCAGCTGTACCAAGAATAGAACCAGACACACTTGAAGAAGTCAGAGACAAGCCACAGTCTACATTTTCTTTTTCTTTCTCATATTTATTAAATGTTAGAGTGTGTTTGGTCCTGTCAGAGAAGGAAAGGGAAAGGGATAAAGCATCTTCCAGTGGGGAGTGGTCATACCACAACCTCTTCTCTATTTCTCCATCCTGTCTAGTTCATTTTTGAAAGATTCCTGTACCCAAAATAAGGACCTTCAAAATAACTCTTTGTCAGTTTGGGGGAAATGTGTGGCATATGGACAGAGCTCCTGAGTGCATTTCTCCCTGAGGGGGCTTTTTTTTTTTTT